CATAAGATTCCTCTGATCTTCCTACTGAAAAACCTTGAGGCTTTGAAAGTTTTATTTATATAAATCAATGTTAGCACACCAGCAAGGTAAATCCTTGTGAGGAATCACATGATCTGGACACTGCGAGCTGAGAATTATGGTCATCTATTCTTCCATGGCTCTGCAAATCTTAAGAAAGAGATTACTGAATTAAAAAATCTAGTCATGAAGATTTAAAAAATCTTAGCCATACATTTCCTTTTAATTTTCAGTTAATTGTGGAATCTAAAAAAAAAGAAAAAATTAACTCTTAGAAATAGCTAGTAGAAAAGTAGTTGCTAGAGGCTGGAAGATGTGGAAATATAGAGAAGTTAGTAAGAGGAGACAAATGTTCAGTTCTAAAAGGAATAAGGCTTGAGGATCTAATGTATAATATGGTGACTATAGTTGATAACACTGTATTGTATAACTATAATTTGCTAACAGAATAGAACTTAAGTGTTCTCAGGGGGGGAAAAAGTTAACTATGTGAAGTGATGGATGTATAATTAACTCAATGGGGGGAATTCTTTCACTATGTATGTGTATATCAAATAATCACATTGTACCCTTTGAATATCTTATTATTTTACTTGCCAATTATACTTCAACAAAAGCTGAAAAAAATAAATAAAATCTTTAAATTAAAAAAAATTCCTGATGTTGAAGAAATAAACTGTTATATATTAGTTATTCCACTCTTATATTTAAGTAAAAACAGAAAATTAAAAAGAAATCCCACATTGAGACAAACCAAAAACATAAAGCTGCAAGCATCTTATATAAAAAACATATGTATCTCAGCATTAATAACAGTTCATTTTAAAAACCAACAAAACTAGGACCTAAAGATATATAAGTTATTTAAAGTCTAGAATTGCTGTTTGTTAAAAAAATGACAAAGGTGATAATGACTTTTATCTCCAGAGAGCTGTATTCAATATCAGTGAATCTGGTGCTGCCAAGTCTTATTGGGAAACAAGATGGGTACATTGTCAACTGGAGTTGCTTATTCATATTTGGGTTTGGGAATGGTATTTATGTCTTCCAATGGTATAGAGGCAGTCCCTCCAGGTCCAAGACTCATTTGTAGGTGATATGTGCAGAACCAGTGTTTGTCTGGACTACCTGGAAAGATGTCTGGAGGGTGAGAGGCTTATATAGGACTTAGAAAGGACTTCAGAGCAGCCAGAAAAACTTGTTGGAGACACCAATGATGGTTGCTGAGCACCATTGTCCTACTTGGTATCATTGCACAATAGTACTCTAAATTTAGTGATTTAAAACAACAACCATTTTACTGTGCTCAAGGATTCTGTGAGTCAGAAATTTAGGAAGGATTTGTCTAGGAGGTTCTTAGCTGGGATCTCTCATGTAGTTGTGGTCAGGTGTTAGGCTTGGCCTTTAGTGTATGATGGCTTGACTGGGCTATACTTCCAATATGACACTCTTCACATGGCTGGTAGTCGATGCTATCATTGGAGCTCTACTGGGGCTGCCATATTTATCTGTATTTGACTTCTCCATGTGGCTTGAATGTCCATACTTGGCTTGGCTTCCTTACAGTATGGGAGCCTCAAGGAAGTTGGACTATCTACCAAACTAGCAGGACTGCAAACTAGCAGGTAAAGGAAATTGCATACTGCATTGACTAAGAAGTCATACAGCACCACTTTTTCTGGATTTTACTCATTGTGAGCAAGTCACTAAAGCCAGCTCAAATTCTAGGAAAGAGGACAAAGGCTCCATCTCTTGGTGAGAGGCATGTCGAAGAATGAGCAGACATAAGCTAAACCACTGTAATCATTTCTATTGATTGGACACCTATTCCTTGCTAACTGCAATTGAGAACTTCTCACTTAATTTTTTAAAGTTTGTTTCCAACTTTGTCAATAGGAGATCCACACTGTCTAGCAAGCAAAACCAGTCTCAAGGGTTCCAGAAGTCTACCATTGTCATAGAGTTACTGACATACTTTCATAGCTTGTCAATGATCCTAACTTTAAAAAATTTTTTTAATGTTTATTTTTGAGAGGGGGGAGGAGGAGGGTCAGAGAGAGGGAGACACAGAATTCAAAACAGGCTCCAGGCTCTGAGATGTCAGCACAGAGCCTGATATGGGGCTCGAACTCATGAACCATGAGATCATGACCTGAGCCGAAGTAGGATGCTTAACCAACTGAACCACCTAGGCATTCCAATGATCTTAACTTTTAAATTGCATTTGTGAATCAGGTCAGAGTGATAATTATTTGGGGACAATTCCTTTCTAATATATTAATTTATACTAGTCTCTACATGAATCTTCTTATTCTCTCTTCTTTCCAAAGACAATCCCAACTTGCCTTCCCTTGCCTAAGCAGTCAGATGTCCATGAGGATTGCTCTGCTGAGTTGGACTCAGTGATCAAGTCTTCAGTCAGTGGAAGCCAAAAACTACAACATGAGGTAACTGAGGAGAAAGAGGGAAGGGATAGAAAAGTGATCAGTGGGGTTCAGAATAGACTAATGAAGATGTTAACAAGAAGAAAGAACATGGTGGGTTGCTTAAGGCAGGTGGTTTGGGTCTTATTACAGCTCCTATATCCTGTTTTCGTATGTATAAAGCTTATACATTTTGTGACAACAGAGCAAAATGACACCAAGGATCTTGGCATCAGCTATTTGTGACAAGTCAGATGAAATCACGAAGAAAGATGTTCTCTGATAATGTCACATATATTCCTTACAATACTATTCCACACATACATGTATTAATGCTTCCATTTGCTGATATGAAGAGAAAATGAGTCAAAGGAGCTGAAATGAGTCAAACAATAAGGAGACTTATCTGCTCCTAAAACTAAGACACAATAGAAACTGTAATTGTATTCATCTCATACCTACATCCTATCTGTGAGATCTGGCATTATTAACAGCATTTTTTTAAGTGGTCAACTTAAGAGTTACTACTAATGAAACCCTCAGATCTGATTACCATCAAGTCTTTCATCGCTCTAGTTTTCTTTTATTTCACCTTCTCAGGGTCTTACTACATTGCTGCCACGCTGGGAGATGAGGTGGAGGTGGGGGTGGACACGTCAGAATGGTTAAGTGAATTCCTTCATTGTCCAGCAATAGTTACTTAGCCTTGGGCCAAACTCTTCCCAATCTAGGAGGTCCAGGATGGTCATTTCCATTTGCCCTCAGTCCATGTTTTTTCTCGAAGCATCTGGAACAGATAAAATGACTGCATTTCTTTTTAGATGTTCTCCAAATATCTTGAGAATTACAACTGCTATTTTGAATCCCATAGAGTACCACAAATTCTCCCAAGTGCAAAACCTCTTTAGAGACTTAGTTCCTGTCCACAGACAGACTGATAAAGAAGGGCATGTGAACTGATATAAAAGGACATGGGAGCAAAGCTAGAGGGAGGGGTGAGGCAAAGGGTAAAGACTGGCCACAAATCTGCACAAGGGCACAGGCAGGGCTGTGGTGGACTGCATGCAGTTCTGGGTACAGAATTCATTAGAATACAGCATTCCCGGACCAGCAATGCAGCAGACTATAGAGATGGAAATTGGAGCAGCTGATGAAATACTGCTGGGAAAAATGTGGGAAAGGGATGGTAAGGAGTCTCAGCTTCAATCACTTAGAAAAAGACTTTTTGCCTTAGTTTCTACACTGCCTATATAATTGAGTTTTTGGCCTCATTTTATGTAAGATAAGATGCTTTCCTTTTTTAAAAAATTTATTGTCAAAGTGGTTTCCATACAACACCCAGGGCTCATCCCAACAAATGCCCTCCTTAATGTCCATCATCCTCTTTCCCCTCACCCCCAACCCCCACCAACCCTCAGTTTGATCTCAGTAGATAAAATGCTTTTCTAATGATCTCCACTGTAAACCAGTTTCCTAGGGCATGACAGAGAAGTTATATCCCAGCTTCGCCACTTAAAACCTATGAAAGTCCAAGGCAAGGTCTTCATATTTTTATTTTGTTTTGCTTTGCTTCAAGGTAAGTTCTTCATTGCAGTGTGTGTATCTTCCTAATAGGGGCATGTTCTATTTGCTTCACAGGGTTGTAGGGAAGTTCCTTGCTCATATATTCACACAGTGGTTACACTTGGCCGGGGAAGGGGCTTGGGGAATTGGAGCCATTCATTTGTGTAGAAGGAAAGGGACTTGCGGCCTTGGGGTAACTTGAGCCTGTTGCATTATGGCTCATTAGAGCCCCCTACACATACCAGGCAGATTTGGGGGGTGGGGGAGGTTGGTCTGAGAATCCTCACAGTAACTTTCTCTAAGCTCCTCTTTCCTATTATCATCTTTGCTCTCAACCTTTGAAGCGTGAAACCTTAGACCTTCCCACTACAGTTACTGTAGATTAAAATGCAAAATATAGGCGTTTCCTGGTCCAGGTCTCAGAGTGAAGTACAGTAGCCTCATGCATGGCCAGGAGCAAGTCAGGGAGGATGCTTCCCAGACCAGAGGCCACATGTGGGAAACAGGCTCTTTGGGGCCAGCTGACAGGTCTGCACTGGAGCCCTTTACAAGGTACTGACCTTCAGCCACCATGACATGGGTATGAGCTAGGCTTCCTATACCGGTAAATCTAGGTACATTGCTTTCCTTCCATGAGTAGGAGCTACTGTTTTCCTTATGCTTAAAAATCTCTGTTAATAAAATTACCAAAATAGTCTATGAAAAAGTTGGACTCGGCAGAAAAAGAGGTTTACTCCTTAGTCCATGTGCCTAATTCTAGATACAATATGTATATGTAGATTCTCTGTACATATACTCAAGAGTTTCTATACATATATATATATATATGTTTATTTTTTTATGTTTATTTTTGAGAGAGAGAGACAGAGTGCAAGTGGGGGAGGGGCAGAGAGTGAGGGAGACACAGAATCTGAAGCAGGTTCCAGGCTTCTGAGCTGTCAGCACAAACCTTGACGTGGGGCTCGAACTCACAAACCATGAGATGATGGCCTGAACCAAAGTTGGACACTTGACTTTGCCACCCAGGTGCCCCTATTTGTTTATTTTTTTAAATATGATAAATGCAGATTTTCTACTTAGGAATCTCTTATTTTTAAAGAAAGGATTTGACCAGTGTTTGTTGTTTTTTCCTTTTCTGGGTAGAAATTCTAAAGAAATCCTGTAGAGAATCCATATCTTGGAAACTGAATGTGGTATTTATTCTTCTTCTGAATGAAATACAATTAGAAGGGTTACTTTCTTCTCAGGCAAAGCATGAAGAAACTAGAAGACAGATTTAAAGGAAATTGTGAGAAAATTTTAAGCAGGAGCCTTAATAACAAATTTAATACTACTTGCATCTAAGGAATATGATTCAGAATTGTATAGCTTTCTGAATACAACCAGGTAAAAGTGTATTAGGAAAAAAATACAATATTTTCATCATATGTGGTCCATGCTGGCCTCATATAGCCCTGGATTTTTGTGGACCTAGGGGAAGAAAAAGGAAAGCAGGCGGTATTTGGGCCTGTGGAGAAGCATAGGAAAGCAAGAGTAAAACACTTTAATTCGATCTGGTTGTTAATACCACCAAAGAAGAATACAAGGAAAAGTACAATAGGTCAATTAGGATTAATGTCTAAGATCTGGTAAAAAGTGAGACATAATGGGGAAACAAAATGTAAGGCTGCTGGGGAAAGAAGAGAAACACTGTTTCAGGGTTTGTTTACCATGTTTCTAGTGGGTCCACAATGGTGTGGATTATTTTTGTGTAACCCAGATAATATAACACAATTCTTTTTATTTTCCTCAGAACATCTTCCTAATATGTAAGATTTCCTACATTTGAGGTCCCTCGCTGGGTTATAAAATTGGAATGTAACTGTTAATTTTAGCTCGATGTCTTTGTGAAATGCATTCTGCTATCCACACGATATTTCTCATTTCTTGTTCCTTCAGCTTCGTGTATGCGTAAAACACGCCATAGTGGAATTGTCTGCTGAAGGCCAGCACGTTCATTTGTACCTGAGGAGGGAAAAGAAACACAGACTGTCACTTCTCGGGAGCATACTATATTTACGCAGTAACATTAAGCTACAGACTGGGTTGGGTTTGTATGGTGCTTATTCATATTTAAGTAGGCAATGTCCAAAATGGGTCAAATAGAAGAAAACAGTAACAAAGTCATTAAGTTCTAAAGGGAGCATTAGTGTCATGCTAAAGGTAAAGATAGATAATACTCGTTTTAAAAAGGTAAGTTTATGAAAACAAACAAACAGGGATGCTGGGTAGCTCAGTCGGTGGGGCTTCCAATCAGCTCAGGTCATGGACTCATGGATTGTGAGTTTGAGCCCTGTGTCGGGCTCTGTGCTTACAACTCAGAGCCTGGAGCCTGCTCCAGATTCTGTCTCTCTCTCTCTCTCTGCCCTTTCCCCACTCATCCTCTGTCTCTCTCTCCTTCAAAAATGAACATAAAAATTTTTTAAAAACAAACAAATAAACAAATAAGTACATAAAATAAAGTGGGTTTCTCGACTCACAAGGCAAACTCCAAATCTTAGCAGCACTGCTACCACAAAGATAAGGAAAATCTTGGTGTTTGTGCGTAGATGTATGTGCGGAACTTTGCAGTAATATAGTTGGCTTCTAGCTAGTGGGCTTGTTTCATTTAGGTAAACTATTTTCTCTTGGTCACATCTTTGAACATTTCAAAATGGTTTGTAGGGGCACCTGGGTGGTTCAGTCGTTTGAGCATCCGATTTGGGCTCAGGTCATGATCCTGCAATTCGTAGGTTCGAGCCCCACATCAGGCTATGTGCTGACAGCTCGTTAAGAGCCTGGAGCCTGTTTCAGATTCTGTGTCTCCCTCTCTCTGACCCTCCCCTGCTCAAGCTGTCTCTCTCTCTCTCTCTCAGAAATAAATAAAACATTAAAAAAAAAAAAAAAAGGTTTGTAGGCTGTCTAACTCTTCTCCAGGCCAATGTCACAGGCCCCTGGGATCCGGAAGGAGTGACATTATGACCTTCCATAAGATGCTCAGCACCAATTTGACATATGGTTGAATTGTTTTTTGTTTTTGTTTTTTTCTGCAGAAGGTAGATCAGTAAAAGAAAATTTTCAAACAAAATTTGTTTAACTAGGATAAAGTCTGAAATGGAACAATTCTTTTATTCTTTTCCATTTTGAAAAAAGGATAAGAGATACTGAGTCCCTTCATGCAGTTCTGAAAACCTCAAGCTAAGTATTCAGGAAGTGGAGGTCCTTGCTTTCAGGAACAGACACTTATTTTTCCTGCCAAGGGCAGCTTTCTTAACAGCTTTCTTTGAAGCAGTTGTGCAATAGTGTGGAATTTAAAAATATCCCTAATATATGGGGTAACCTGCATTGTTTTTACTTTTTTTCTGTGACAGGCACTAGAGGGCTGTTGGAAAATGTGTCGAGTAGGACGTAGAGGAAGGGTTCCATACTGATTTCTGGAGCCAGTCTTACCCTAAAATTTGGATAAATTTCAGGGTTCTCTGTCAATCAATTAAAAGGGAAGAAGCAGTGGTTTTAGAGAAATGAATAGAATACACTAGAAAGATTCTAGATTTGAGAGACCTTATCATCCCCCTCAAAAAATAGCCCTTTTGTTGAATGGTTCAGTAGCCCAGATACTGACTATGAATGGATTAAGTGCTCTTCTGCTTTTTAGGGAAAGAGAATCATCTAGACTCCCTGGATGGATTTCCATACAAATAATTTGTAAGTGTTACAGTTGTATTCATAAGCTATATTATAACCATAGACAACTCCTTCTTGAAGAAAGAATGGATCAGAGAGTAAGATGCACTTAACAGAGTGTACACCATGAGGATAGTCAATATATGATCATGGGAATGTCCTAGCTCTTATTCTTTGATGAATTCTGGAATTGCTGCATTCTTCCCATCACTATGCACACTGTTTCTGGGTAGGACAATTCCACAGGAAGCCATCATGTGAAAACCATTGAGTAAGATACTAGTACTTATTTGGCTGTCAAATAGTCAATGTGCTTAATCAGTTGAACTGATCAACTGTAAAAAGAACCCCCCCCCCAACACACAAAGAAAATCCAAAGTAAGATAATATCTAAAACCCAGAGTAAGACGGGCGCCTGGGTGGCTCAATCGGTTAAGCAGCCGACTTCGGCTCAGGTCATGATCTTGTGGTTCATGAGTTCAAGCTCCATGTCCGGCTCTGAGCTGACAGCTCAGAGCCTGGAGCTGCTTCAGGTTCTGTGTCTCCCTCTCTCTCTGCCCCTCCCCCACTCGTGCTCTGCCTCTTTCTCTCAAAAATAAACAATAAAACATTTTAAAAAATAAACTAAAATAAAACCCAGAGTAAGAGAAAAAGAGAACATAAACTAATAGCATTTCCATTTATATCATACCTCACGTTCATAAAACACATCCTCCAACGTCTTTCCTCCACTGCCATCACCCACAGCGTCAAACAAAGGCTTGTATACCTAAAAATCAAAAGGACCATTTTAAACAAAAAGACTAATTTCTTATAAATATACATCAGGATATTTTCCTGGGAATATAAAATGATGTATCTGTTCTAAAAAATCTATCCAGAAGGTCTGAATGGTTTTTTGTAGGTTCTTTGGCCTCTTGAAAAATACCCAAAAATACAGATAAAAAAGTATGGGTGGAATTCTAGCCTATTGGCTTATTCAGGCCTATAGGGAAAGAGGCAAAAGCAACTGTACTCTCAGTGTACATTATATGAGCTATTTTCTACATTCAGTTCGTAGGGCTAGTTGGGCACATTATAGAGGCTAAATGAATGCTTGTAGTTTAACCACTATGGGTTCATGGGTTCTTTGACATGGCAGTTGGTAAACTTCACATGGAATTTTAGGGGTGGAAAGCCTGGATATGGGGAAAAGCTCAAAATTTAATATTATGCTCAAAACCTTCTTGCGATGACATGAGATACTACAAAGGTTAACTGACTTCTCTTTTCTGGAAGGGTTCAGAAACCCAAAGAGTGTCATCCAGTTCTGGAAAAGGAATCTGGAGGAAATCATGTTACTGTAAGTCAGAAGGAATGGAATCCAGGGATGAGGTGTAGAGCTTCGACGTGGAGTTAAGGGCAGGACATAGCAGCCTACCTTCCAGTGTCTATTTCTGGCCCCTGATTAAAGGGAATGGTATAAACCACTATGTCCATATTCTCCCTTGTATTTCCAGTAGACATTCTGTACCTAAGCCTGTTTCCCCAATGGACGTTTGAACGGACTAGTGGGTCAGGCTATTTTATATAACTTTGACATAAGCTCACATATCCAGAACACTGCACCAGTCCCTTAGGGAACTTGCTTTATCAAGCACTTCAAACGAAGTGCTCAACTGACCGCTCCTTGGAGATTTAAACAAGTACTTGCTTGGCAAGAACCTCAAAAACAAAAACAAAACCAAAAAAAATACAACCCACCAGTATGGGTTAGAAACTTCAACTATTTCTTTGGGAGACACAGTTACGGAATGACATGGCTTTCTACCTTACAAACATTGTAACTGCTTTAGATAAGATGTGTAAATTTGACGTGTGAACTTCTCAAGTACACGTGATGACATAGCATGAGACTTTCAGGGTCCCCAGTGTGGTCACGTACTCCATAATGGTCTGCTACTCTCCTCATCTGATCGAAGTCTTCTGCTTGAGCCAACAGGCGCAGCCCCTCAGGATACAGCTTGCCACAGGTCGGGTAGAGGGTCTCCCGGTCGTCTTTGCTTAGTTCAGTGCCAAAGGAGTTAAGAGTGATGATAAAAGCACGTCTGTCAGCCTCAAACTGAATTTGCAAGACAGTGAATCAGTGAAATCTAACCATGTACTGACTGCTATAAACAGAACCCTAAGCAGACAAATTCATTTCCGGAGTGACTTGCTCTTTTTTCTGGATTTATGTCTAATATTAGCACAAATATGTGTTATTAATGTTCCCTTAGCCTCAATGGAGTAATTTTGCTTGCCAGAGAAGGATCACCTAGTGATATTGGGTCAGGATTCTTGAAACCCCACTAAACTTTAGTTCCCAGGCACCCTGCAATTAGTTACACATGTGTCTCTGTCACATAGGCCACTAGAGTCTAAAATGTCTCTTCTGTAAAAATGGGAAGAATACTTACTTGTTGAGGTTTGTTCAGGGATAGGACAAGATAATGTAAGTGGAAGTGCCTGGGGGGTGTTTGGAGCAAAATGTGCACGTCATAAATATTAACATCTCTTTCTGCTTATTGATATCAGTAGGATTTTTTTACATAATGCAACTTTATTCTACTTGCCATTTGTTTATACTTTTAAAAAATGTTTTATTTATTTTGAGAGAGAGAGAGAGAGAGAGAATGTGAATGAGGGAGGGGCAGAGAGAAAAGGAGGGAGAAAGAATCCCAAGCAGGCTCCGTGATGTGAGTGCAGAGCCTGACTTGGGGCTTGATCTCATGCACAGTGAGATCATGACCTGAGCTGAAATTAAGAGTCAGATACTTAACCAATGAGCCACCCAGGCACCTCACCATTTGTTTGTACTTTAATAGTTTTGGTTTTTTTCTTTAAAGTCCTCAGTCGACATCAATAAATCTAACTCAGTAGCTAAGAATTATGTGGCCCAAGACAAGTTACCTTTCTCTCAGGCCCTGGTTTCCTCACTTGTTAAATGATAGGGGTTGAACTCATGATCTTTCAGTTGGGTCACAGGCTCATGGCCTGCCTTTGTGCTCATCACTACTAGGCAACTGAGCAAACAGCTCCATGTCAATCCTATTTCCTCTAACCACTCTGGTTTTCTGCAAATTTCTTACTATTCCTTTGGTCTTTATGTTTCTTCCATCTCTTGGTTCTTCTCCTACCTCTTCTGACCATACCATCTCAGTCTTTCCTTCCTGGGATCTTCTCTGCCTATCAGGGGAGCTTATTATAGTGTCCTTGAGCTACGAAACTCTTCTCTATATTCCTGAAACACCCTGCACTTACATTCTTTTAACATCTGGAAATTCTTTCTCTCCTTATTCCACTGTAAAATCTTTGAGGTTTTACAAACTCTTGTTTATTTTTTATTTTTAATATCCAGTGCCTGACACATAGGAAGGTCAATACTGTTTACTGAATCCAACAGAATGGTCTGTGATTCTCCTATTTTCAAATTTCTCCAATATCCTCTACAATGTTGACACTCGAGGTATGTTTCATGGATCAGTAGCTTTGATGTCACCTGAAAGAAAGCTTGTTAGAAATGCAGAGTCTTGGGGTGCCTGGGTGGCTCGGTCAGTTGAGTGTCTGACTTCAGTTTAGGTCATGATCTCATGGTTCACAAGTTCGAGCCCCATGTTTGGCTCCATACTGACTGGAGAGTCAGTCAGAGCCTGGAGCCTGCTTCAGATTCTGTGTCCCCCTCTCTGTCTCTGCCCCTCCTCTGCTCATGTTCTGTCTTTCTCTCTCAATAATGAATACGCATTTAAAAATTAAAAAAAAAAAAAAAAGAGATGCAGAGTGTTGGGCCATCGTCCAGCCCTACTAATCCAGGGCTTACATTTTAACAGGATTCCAAGGTTATTTGTATGAACCCAATAGCTGAAATAAATTGTTCCACGATAGCCTTTGATCAGCTTACTTTTGACTAATTTGAATTAAGGCTTGCAACAGATTTTACCTGAACTCTTCTGTTAGAACAGGTGTTTCCTATCAGAAGGGTGAGCCTTAGTTCCTTCTGATCCTTTTGATTGATCTCATGGAAAGTGTGGGTGACCCAGAAGCAGGGACTGGCCTCCTTTGGAGGCAAAGGCAGCTGCCTCTGACTACTGAATGTAACCAGTCCTATCAGTAATTTTAGACCTTCCAGAGACAGGAGAAGAAATGCAAGAGGGAGATTTCATGGCAATAAGAAACTTGAAATAAAAATTAGAGCAGAAGCAGGAACAAAAGAGCCAATTGTCCCACATGCCCTTTAAGGTGCTTCCTAGTTCTAAGATGTTAGTTTTTATTCACTTTTTTCTCCCACTTTTACTGAGGAATAATTGACATGCATTGCTGTATAAGATGTTAGGGTTTTCAGGAGAGAAGAAGTAGGGTGGGGTGGCACCACACAGACATGCCTGGCTGCAGAGGCCGTTCTGGAGGGAAGTTGCGTGAAGTTAAAGCATGACACTGATGGAGACTGGTCATGGCTCAAGCAGTGGAAAGCAGTTGAAGAAGAAGGCTGGACAGGTAGCTGGGAAGAGAACAGGAAAGGCTTCACGTGCCATGCCGAGAGAGGACTTTGATTGATACAATAGGTTATCTGAAACACCACACACATTCCAAATTCTTGTTCTTGTAAACACTTCTACCTTCTGCCTCCAATGTGTCTACTTCATTCTAGAACTCTCCACGTTGAAATCTTACCTACATTGGAGGGTCCCATTAAATGGCTTATTTTTTACAAGAACCCCCCCCCATTGGATATTATTTCCTTTGACTCCTTATTATACTTTAATTTCCCTTTTATTATAATAGTCTGTATACTTACCTTAGTACCCTTTTCTAGTCTAGAGGCTCTTTGTGTGTGAGTGTGTGGATTCTTAGTGAAAAGGACTATAGTCTTGAAATTGTAAAAGGGCTATCTTGTGTTTGACCATCCCTAAGCAGACAGTTTGACACAACCTTTGATTGTGGAACAGCAAATGGGGTGCTATTAGATTTCACTTAAGCCCTCTCTGTCATTTATAGAAGGCTGGTATCCTGTGTGGCATAGATGATGCTGGCATACTCCGATGTCCTCTCGTCCTTCTTTATGCTCATTCATTTTAAAAGTATAACTTATTTTTTTGCTGTTGTTACAAAAAATAACAGTGTACTGTTGACTTATGCAAAGTCATTATCACTTGCACATGATAGAGTTGGGCTGATCACACATTTTTGCTGGTTCATTATCCAAGGAAAGGAATACCTTGTGGGGGCAGTGAGTGTAAGAGTCCACAACAGAAGAGAGTGAGCTGGAATGAAGCCCAGCCTAATTAGCATGTGTACTAACCAGGGAAGATGAAACAAACTTATTCATCTGTGCTTGTTTTTCACTATTTCATTAAACATATAGATTGTCAGGAGAGCAAAGACAAATAATAAAAGGCATAACGGCAAACAGTACATTGCAGTGCATTTCCCTTGAACTTAAGTCAATTTCTTTTTTTTTTTTTCCCCATAGGAAGTTACAATCTTGTAATTAGGTCAAATATTTGCATGCAAGTCCAGGTTAATGCTCTCTTTTACCATATTAAGTCTTTTGCAGTCTCCTGTCAACTGAGATTAAATAAAAACGTATATGGAAGAATGTGATAACTGGAGGCTCTCTGATGTTACACAAATAAAATGAGAGATAATTACATGATCTGATATATTTATATAAATCTGAAAAATCTCTTCAATCATATCATTAGAAACATTATAATTGCATGCTGTGTGTAACTAATACTTAAATGTAATGTATAAAGATAGTTGAGTGGACTTTTTTTGTTTTTAATTTTAAAAAAATTTAATGTTTATTTATTTTTGAGAGAGACAGAGCATGAGCAGGGGGAAGGCAGAGAGAGAGGGAGACACAGAATCTGAAGCAGGCTTCAGGCTCTGAGCTGTCAGCACAGAGCCTGACACGGGGCTCGAACTCACGAACCGCAAGATCACAACTTGAGCCGAAGTCAGACACTTACCTGACTAAGCCACCCAGGTGCACCAAGTGGACTTTTATTTTTAATACAGCTTGAAAACAACCCTAATCTAGTATGGTAGTATCACAGGTATAGGAAAGGGATAATGAGAACATTGAGTATTACATAGTAGTGTGATCAAACTCTTCCAGTGACCAGGATTCTTCTGATATTATGCTGTCCTTTCTGCATTACTGAGAATTACAGAGACATAATTCTTATCTTTTTTTTTTTATTTTTATAGCACATGCAGTATGATCTTGCTTATGAATTAGTACTTACTTTCATGTAAGAATTGTGAATGGTGACTTTAATGTAGAGATAATATAGTGGGTGAACATAGAGGAACTGGAGCGAGGCTACCTGGGTTCAAATTCTGACATTACCACTTATTAGATGTGTGTCGTCAGGCAAGTTACTATCTTCTTTGTGCCTCAGTTGCCCCTTCTGAAATATAGACACCAAACTCCCATCTCCTTGTTGTTGTGCTGCTTTGAAGTCAAAGTGAATTCATGTACAAAAGCACTTAGGATAGTATCTGGCACATAATAAATGTTACCTAATAATAGTGTCATTGTTTACCTCTTGAAAGGTTGTGAGTTTTTCCAGAGCTCTGATTTCACATAGTTTGTGGGTATAAAGCACACAAGCCATTTCTAAACCACAGGAATTATGCCCTGTTGAAATTATACTTTTGAGTCGTGGATACTGTGGCTTCTTATAGTGTGGCTAGTAGTTAAAAATTTATGACAAGAAAGTGCTTCTTAGGGCCAGCAGGTTACTTATGTTATGTGATCAGAATGTCTGAAAAAGACTAGCTCACTTTCTGACATTTAGTATGCCATAAAAAAATGTTATTTATTTATCAGTGCCCACTTCCTGTGTAATATAGATAAAGGCAAAAAAGATTTTTTGGAGTTCTCCAGTGATAAATTTTTACTTCAAGGACTGCTTTTGCTTGAAGAGTTTCAACAAGGGATAGCAAATATATTTAACTGTAAAATTTTAATGATTAAATGTTTTGAGGGGAACTAATTTCATCACATGCGGTTTTAGAACATTAGGTTAAAATACACACTGATGAAGTTATTCGAGTTTTTTTTTTCCTTTTTTTTTTTTTTTTTTTTTTGCTACAGGGCAGTTCTTACTAAGCTTTTCTTGGAATCAGAGGTTATTGAACTATTTAATCTACCTATCAATGTCACTGTGAAAGATAATCTAATGATCAAGGATATTCTTTAGAAACAACTTAGTTTTGTCTAACTAAGCTAAGGGCTTTTCTAAGTTTAGAATGGTATCTGCTTCCCCACACCCCACCATTTTGTTATTCAAGTGAAGTCAGAAAAAGAGATCTATACAAAACACAGTAAAAAATATGCCCCCTATGTTCTGAGATACTTCTGATCTCTGGCCTGAATCTCTGAGATCAACATGTGCAAGCAAGAGGATCTCTGAGCACAGATGAAATCTGTGATGATAAAAGGAAATTAAAATGATTATAGCATCAATTAGAGAGGTAGAAAACAGTGGTGGCATTTGACACATAATTAAGTGACTATGCCAACTGTGAATCACCTAACCCTAAAAGTCTTACTAACCAGAGCTGGAATTTTCGAGGGGTTTTTTTGAGTTTCCTTTATTTTATGATTTATATAAGGAATAAGGCTGAGAATGGACTTTGGTCCCAAGTTGTGAGAATTCCCAGATGCCCAGTGTTCCTCATTGGAGGGAGGCTGAGTGATTATTACAAGTACTTATATTCCACCAATTGCTCATAGTATACCAAAATTTTAACTAATTATAATCTATTCATACTACATCAAAATGAATCACGACTAAGCTTTCATAAGCATTATTCTTTTCTAATTCCAAAACAACTCTTCAATATAGAAAACTTGGAAAATACCATTCTTAACTGAAAGCATCAAATGATATACATGATAAAATATGTTGTTTATTTTACTTTTAGATAAAGGAGCTTCTAAGATAAAGAAACATAAGTAGGACTATATAAGTGAAAACTGTGTAAGCATTTTATTTGGCATAAAGAAATTCAAGGACTTTCTTACCTCAAGAATGGGACACATGATTTCTGCTGTGACATCACCATGACTCTTACAGAATTTATAGAATGCTTCGAGGTAAGACTTAAAAAGAAGAAAGATCATAAAACAATTAAATGAAGATATTTTCCTTCGGAAATTTGTAGATCAGCTTTTCATGGCTTATTAAATACTTTAATGGAAGTTGAATTACTTGTCCCATAGGGTGATATTTTATTAAAAATTTGGTATAAACTTTCACATCGAAGTATGTTTGCACAGCTTTAAAAAAGGACAAAATTGTACTTAGCATACCTTATGATTCTTTAACAAGCATTTTTTTGGCATGATTCTTGGGTTTATTTCACATGATTAATGTTTAGCACTCTTATTAGAGTGCCAAACTCTTTCATGAGCTCAACAAATAATTCTAAATTTGGTCCTGTGTCTACATTTAATCTCTCTTGGTGTTCAGGAGACATGTTTGGGATGGCTTTGAACATGAAGGACATGTTGGAAAGGCAGAGTCTGGGCTGTACAGTTAGATTGACTGTGTCTGAATCCCAACTCAATCACTTACTAGTTAACTGACTTCTGCTAAGGTAATCTTACCTCCCCATGTCTCACTTTTCTCATCTGAGGAATGGGGATAGCACATAGTTTTGCTGGGTGGATAAGTGAATTAATGCTTATAATTTACTTTAAACAATGCCTTCTATTAGTTATATCTCAAAGATGTCTCCTCTAAGTCCATAAGTTTCTTTATAAAAAGGAAAATTGCCCGCAACCCAATGCTTTTGAAAGGACTATATGTTTTAGCATAACCAGTTATACAAATGGCATGACAGTATATATTGCTTCGGCTACTCTGTGAGAGTGTCCAAAGATGCTACTGTTGTATGACTGTAAATGGACAGAGTTTGCTTAGCACAAATCACATAGAGCTACTCAAATGGTGGCAGCATAAACAGATAGCTGGCCAGATTATGCAGGTGGTGCCTATGTTGTAGTGTCCACAAGTTGGGCATCTTGGTATGCTGTACACTATCAGTAAACAGACAGATTAACTGTAAAACTAAAAGGCTCTATAATAAGATTAAGGATAGAGGTGGACACTACATGACATGAGGCTCACTATGTATGCTGGTTTTTTATTTTTAATTTTTAAAAATATTTTATTATTTTTTTAAGTTTTTAAAAAACATTTTTAATTTATTTTTGAGAGAGAGTCAGAGTGAATGGAAGAGGGGCAGAGAGAGAGAGGGAGACATAGAATCTGAAGCAGGTTCCAGGCTCTGAGCTGTGAGCACAGATCCAGACAGGGGGCTGGAACTCACGAGCCGGGAGATCATGACCTGAGCCGAAGTCGGATGCTCAAGCAACTGAGCCCTCCAGGTGCCCCTTTTTAAGTTTTTTTAAAATGCTTATTTGTTTTTGACAGAGTTACAGAGTGCAAGTGGGGGGGGGAGGGGGGGGAGACACAAAATTTAAAGCAGTTTCCAGACTCTGAACTGTCAGCACAGAGCCCAATGCGGGGCTCGAACTCATGAAGTGCAAGATCATGACCTGACCGGAAGTTGGACATTTAACTGACTGAGCCACCCAGGCCCCCCTAAAGATTTTATTTTTAAGTAATCTCTACATCCAACATGGGGCTCAAACCTACAACCCTGAGATCAAGAGTTGCATGCTCTATCGACTGAATCAGCTAGGCACCCCTGTGCGCTGGTTGTTTTAAAATGGATATGGTTCATCTTACTCATCTTTCCACCCACCTACCACCCATCTATCCAGCTGCTACCTTTTATGCTCCAAGAACACAGGGCAAGGAGCTAGGATTACAGAGAAAGATGAGGTATGTTACTTCTTCTCAAGAATCTTGCTGCTTCAGGGGAAGCTGACATGTATGTATTTAACTAGAAGACCAGGACTGTAAAAGCTGTATTCCAAGCATGTATAGCTTCATAATTATAGAAGTTGGCTAATGGGAAAAGTAACTTTTAATAAGGAACTCTGGCTAAGATGTATTATGTAATAAAGAAAATCATAATTTCTTGGGAGACACTTACCTTGTACAGTTTATTGCGCAGTAATTCAATATTCAGTTCATCTAGGGTATTTTCAGACATGCAGTCTTGAAAGAATGGGGCTGAAAGTGGAAATTATCATACAAAATAAATTCCTCAAAATCATGATTATAAACTATAGAAAAGATTTCCTGAACATACCACCTTGTGCTCACTCCTGACCAGGACACTGTAGTGACAGTTCATAGATGGATGAAGCTGCCAGTAACGGTGACAGTGAGTGATTAGTTATAAAGCATTTACTCTGTGCAGGCTGTTCACTAAACACTGCATGTATTTGATACTCACACCCCTTGGTCCTATTCACTTTATGGCTTACCTTTTGAAGTGCCCTTACCCCTCATTTAATAGTAATATTTATCATTTACAACCTTACTATAGTTTACAGCGTTGAGCTGTACTAAAACTGTGTCATATTTAGTTTTCAAAACCCTGTTATACTAAGATACTGTTATTTTTTAAATGAGGAAACTGAGATGAACTGAATTGCCCCGTCACCATGTTGGGACCAGGCAGGGCCTGGAATCAAACATCCATGATTATCGACTTACCCTCTTTCTGCCACAATCACTTAGCACCACACATTTAATGACACTTATTTTTTTTCTTTCTAAAATTTGTTTTCAACAGCAACTATGTTGACAAATGATCAACAGTGAATTACTATGAACTGCTACTATCCAGGTTTCCTGACAATCACGTACATAATATTATCCCATTAGCATTTTGAATGCTAGAACTATTATCAGTACTACATTATAAGGAAATTAGCATTTATTTCCTCATTGCTTCAGGTCCTTTGACAGGCACCCCTGAGCGTCTCAGAAAAATGGTATTCCTCAACTTTCCAAAACAAAATGTACACAGCCTTATTTACACAGAAATTTAAAATGACAGGATAAGGAACTAATCATATAAAACCCAGGTAGAAAATTAATTTTTTGAAAAATGACAAATCTACCATTTATTTACTATGATTTGGTACAAAGTACAAAGGTGTGGAGGTTGGGAGGTGGCCCCAGCTCCTACTGGGCTACAAATGGGTCGTATGTGACTCCATGAAGGTCACTTTTATTTGTTGTCATCTGAAAAATGAGGGAGCAGGACTAGATGATTCCTTAGTGTCCCTTCCATATCTATGAATCTGTATAGTATGACATTGTATTTATGGAGAAAACTATGAATTGAATGTGCATTTTTTAATGACTATGATGACGTGCATATGCAGCTATACAATTGCTTATGCATTCATACCTAACGGTGTTTCAACCAGAACAGCATTGAAGAGATCGGAAGGTGTCTCAGCAATGTTGACTGCTTCCATTTCTGTGAAACGGCCCAATGGGTGGCACTTCACCAGAATTTCTTTCACAGATTTTTTTTGCAATGCACCATTCATCAGCAGAATCACATTGTCTATCATGTAACTGCACCTGGTTTAGAAGAAGGCTCGATTGTTAGGAAATCAACTGCATGAGAATGAGAAGCATACCACCAGTAAAAAAATAAAAATATATAAAAAATAATAAATTAATAATAAAAATAAGAATACAGTTCAGGCATATATTTTTTCACTAAGGAAATATAGGAGTCTTTTCTTATTTTAAACTTTGGGGTTTGAGAGATGTGAATGGGGTAAAATATCTGACTCTCTGGAGATATCATAGTTTGAAAATCAATGTTGTAATAACTAACTAAAGCTCAATAAAACCCAGGCTGGTGGAAGTTGGCAGAAAATGACCCCTACATCGTAACTGGCAAATGTGGTATAAAAATGAGTGTGAAATTGTGTGGTTTTTCAGAGTGGAATATGGTCTTACAAAGTTGAAGAACACAAACCTGGAACATTTCACTCTATCTTAAAAACTGGTTATTTGAGGGGCGCCTGGGTGGCTCAGTTGGTTAAGTGTCCGACTTTGGCTCAGGTCATGATCTCACAGTTCGTGGGTTCAAGCCCCGCGTCGGGCTCTGTGCTGACAGCTAGCTCAGAGCCTGGAGCCTGTTTCAGATTCTGTGTCTCCCTCTCTCTCTGACCCTGCCCTGTTCATGCTGTCTTTCTCTCTCTCTCTCTCTCAGAAATAAATAAAACAAAAAAAATTTTTTTTAAAAACCTGAGTGTTTGAATCTGTAGTAAAGCCTATCACTGAGGGCACCTGGGTGGTTCGGTCGGTTAAGTGTCCAGCTCTTGATTTTGACTCAGGTCATGATCTCACAGGCAAAAGACTGAGCCCCACCTTGGGCTCCATGCTGGGTGAGGAGCTTGCTTAAGATCTTTTCTCTCTCTCTGTCTCTCTCTCTCTCTCTCAAAAAAAAAGTCAGTTTCCTGCCTGTTTAAAAAATAACCATCATTGATTCGTAATTTAAAATATTTTAAAATAAATATTTTAAAATAAATATTTAAATATTTTATTAAATTTATTACTTAATGTTTATTTAAAAATTAAAATATTCTGTATTCTTTTCCTCCTATGAGACCAGGTAGTGAACTTTCTAGCCATTTTCTCCCTAGATCCCCAAGAACCCATAGGTTCATATTTTATGTGATTACATTGCTCAATATAAGCTCTGGATGCATATGCTTTTCAATCATGTGCTTAGCACCCAAGATATTCCAAGCAATAAGGTTGAGAAGCAAAAGAAACACAGTGTCTCACTTCACAGAGAATATAGTTGGAGGGAGGAACTGAACAAAGAATCCATTACAGTAAATTGTAACGAAGCACCGATGGTAGGCAAATTATAGGGTGGTGTGTGGATTCAGAGCTGGGCACCAAACCAGTGTGGGATCGGACATCCTAGTAAGTGATATTCAGGCTGAGACTTGCAGAATGAGTAGGAGCTGACCAGGCAAAAGTGGCTGGGAATTGAGGAAAAGAGCGCTTCAAGGCAGAAGGAAGTGTATGCAAAAAGCCACAGAGAAGAGAATACAAGGAGTTCTCTGCCTGGAGCTGGGGCCTGGAGGTGGGGCGAGGCTGAACAAGCAAGGTTTTGACAGACAAAATGAGGAATTTGGGTGTGGAGGGTGATGGAAGATACTGAATGCCTTTAAGCAGAAAGAGGTGTTATGATTTATGTAGAATAATGATAAAAACAGGAGAAGGGTAAACATACAGTGAGATGCTTTACAAAAGTTACTTTATTTAATCATGATAACTACACTGTGATGATAACAGGTGTAGTGTTATTATCTCCATTTTACAGATGAGGAACCAGAGGGGTCAAGGAAGGTAAAAATCTCACTCATGATGACACAGCTAACAAATGAGAGACGTGAGGAACTCAAAAGCAGTCTGCTTCCGGAATCCTTCTCTTAGCCTTTATACTATGCTGTGTTTAGCAGTCAAGGATAGTCTAGGATGACACATAGGTTTCTAGGTTTACCAAACTGTGGAGTCATCTGTTGAGATGAGAGCACTGGAGGAAGAGTAGGTTGTTGTGGGAGCAGATGCTTCAGACAGAATGAGTTTAGATGCCCAGGAGATATCTAGGAGAAGATGCTAAGTGGCTTCAGAAGTCTGAGTCCTGAAGACATCTGGAAGCAGACATTTGAGGCAGGGGTTGTGGGGGTAGAGGGTTGTTTAACGATGGAAATGAGTCTTGGGGATGGTTGGGATCACATCCTAGAGTGCATATAGTGTTCTGCCCTGACAACCCTGGAGAACCTCAGCATTTGAGGACCTCGATGGAATTTCAGAAGGAATGATCAGGTAAGAGGAGTAAAACTAGAAAAGGGAATTCTTCAAGTCCTAGGAAGAAGTGGCTAGAGCATCAAAAGCCACAAGAAAGTTAAGGTAGACTTTGAAGTGTTTATAAGATGCAGCAACTAAGTGGTCATCTGACAACACAGTGAAAAAACTTCCAGTGGAGTATATTGGTGAAAGAGAAAGGGGAGAAGGAGGCAGAAACATGATCATGTGTGTTTAAACTGAGTGGGAAGTGGGGCACCTGGGTGGCTCAGTTGGTTAAGTGTCATGATCCATGAGCCACAACTTTGGCTCAGGTCATGATCTCATGGCTTGTGGGCTTGAGCTCTGTGTTGGGCTCTGTGCTGACAGCACAGAGCCTGAAGCCTGCTTTGGATTTTGTGTCTCTCCCTTTCTCTCTGCTCTTCCCCCACTCACGCTGTGTCTCTCTCTCTCAAGAATAAATAAACATCAAAAATTTTTTTTAAAAAGTGGGTGGGCAGTAAAGAAAAGAGCTTAAAAAGAAAAGAGTTCAAACAACCAGTTGACCTTAAAAGGGGAAGACAGCTCAATGGAAACCCAGAGGCCAAGGGGCTTTGGACTTCGGTTTTTGTTTTTTTTTAAGATGGGAGAGAAGAAAACATGATCCAATGCTGAGCGGAAGGAGGGAGCCGAGAGGGTGAGGTTTTGGATCAGGAGAGCAAAGGGTCAGCCAACTGAGGAGCTGAGGTCCTCCAGGTTTGACAGTGACAGGACTAACCACTGCCACAATTCAAGCTTGAAAAATAACTGGAAAAAATTAGCCAAGCCTCTTAGAAGTACCGTCACCACAGTGTGGCTGCAGTGGTCACCAGACTTCCTGTGCAAGAGTGCATTACCCGCTGGAAGAGAATCTCCTTCATTGTGGAGCTTCGACAGCTTACCCCAATAAAAATTCTATCTGAAGAAGTTTAGTAGCAGGCAATTATCCCTTTATAAAAGGCACATGACTCTAAAGTTTCTTTACCTCCCAAACAGCAGTACTAAATTTAGACATTATAGAATTTTAGACTCCTTTTTATCTCTTGAAAATGATATTAAAATGGAAGTGCTTATTTAACTGTCCTTTTATGGCTCAAAAACTATCACCTGAGAGAGGAATTGCTAGCACTTAATAACCCTTAGCAGGCTCCAGACATTTAATTGTTCCCCACAGCACCTCTGTAATGTAAAAGCATATGAGCTGCTAACATTCCCAACTTGCAGAGGACTCAGACCAATGTTGACGGGCAACCTATGTCAGTGCTGTAAGGATTTAGGCTACATGTAACACTCAAGCCTATTCCTGTGCAGTGTGTGCATGTGGGTATGTACATGTGTGCACGTGTGTGTATTGAGTTAAATCTCTTTTCTTTCAGGGGCACTTAGCTGGCTCAGTTGGTAGAGCATGAGACTCTAATAAGGGAGTCATGAGTTTGAGCCCCACATTGGGGGTAGAGTTTGCTGAACAAAAATTTAAAAATTTATTTATTTTTAACTAATAGGCTGAGCGCCTATATTGCAGAGAACAGGGCTATAGCAATTGGTTTTATTTCACCTCATTATTTAAATGGTCTTGTTTCTAAGATGGAGCAATCACACTAGTTCTCCCAGCATTATTCAGGAAATGAAGAGAGAACCCAGGACGTGGCCCATGGCAGCAGGCAGAAGGGAGAGGGCTTCTTTCCTGTCCCCTCCTTCCTCCCCATCACACATGTACACCTGGATATAACTCATTGGCCGTCTGGGGTGGCAGGGGGAATGACATGCCCAGAAACAGTTTACGTTCTCCAGACTCCAATCTTTGTAGACTCTCAGAGCCATGCATACAATGATATAGTGTTAGGAACAAAATCACTACTGATATTGCTTGAGTAATTTCTGAGCTTACAGACACTTAGATGTTCACCAAGTTCAATGTTCTCATGTTTTAGATAATTGTGCTCATAAATGGTGACAGAGCCAGGATGAGCTGGGCTAACTTTTCTCCTACTAGTGATCTACACAAAGATCCTCATTTTTGCCCCTCCTAAGTATTTTATCCTATAACTCTGATATTGGCACCTGTGAAAATCATGATGTCACTAAAAATTGTGATAGAGTGAACAGGTTAATTTCAAAATTTTAGGTTGTAAAAATTATAATTTTAAAAATACCAGCTGTCTTGGAGGCTTTTACTGTGTGTCAGACAGTACATGCCTGTTCTCACTCAAGCCTCACGAGTCAGTGCAGTAAGGACCATTATTACCACCACTTTATTTTTTTTTAATTTATTTCTAGGAGAGAGAGAGAGAGAGAGCAGGGGAGGGTCAGAGAGAGAGGGATTCACAGACTCTGAAACAGCCTCCAGGCTCTGAGCTGGCAGTCAGCACAGAGCCCGACGCGGGGCTCGAACCCACGAACCGCGAGATCATGACCTAAGCGAAAGTCGGACGCTTAACCGACTAAGCCACCCAGGTGCCCCACCACCACTTTACTTTAATATCTTGTCCAAGGTCACACTTATAGAAAGAGGCAGAGTTGATACCCCAAAGCCAAACTTCTGGCTCTCTTTTAGATTCAGAAAAAACAGATCAAGGCAAATGATATTTTCATATTTATTTTTGGTCTCAGTGCTATTTTGTCTCTCTTTTAAAAGTTTATCTTTTTTTTTTTTTTTAAAGTAATCTCTACACCCAATGTGGGGCTTGAACTCATGACCCCAAGATCAAGAATTGCATGCTTCTCTGACT